TGAGGAAAAGATATTTGCCCAATTCTTTCTGTCCCTGCCTAGGATAACATCCAAAAATAAGACAAAGGGAGTAAGAGGGTGAGAACCCAACCATGCTGCACATTATCTCAAATTTAAATATATATTCACCTCAGGCCTCATTCAGACCAACTTAAAGCTCCGTATTTTTCCTCTTCTCCTGTGTTTTATTTGAAGTGTTGATCCTTAAGAAGAGACATTTGTGGTTTAAAGAACCAAAAACCATCCCAATGTAGTTTTACATCTCCTCTCTCAGGCTTCTGCTTGGAGCTCTAGTAACAGGTCAGTGAGCCAATCAGAAAATAGGAGGCTCTGAACCTCTCTTCTGATTGGCTGACTGAGTGATTGAATAAAAATACAGCAGATTTCAAGTAAAACACTCAGAGAAACCAAATCCTGCAAGGTTTGGATGGTGGGTCCATGTGGGCGGGGTTTGGGGCAAGGCTGAGAGTGGTGACTGCTTTGTTGTGACATCACAAAGTTACAGGAAGTCCTGACGGCTGTTTTTTTAAGGCTCAGTTTCTGAATACCAGACTGAATACTGCAACACAGTGCGACATCATCTGGTCAAAAGCTGCAGCGGCCAATCGAAGACATGCAAGCGCACATTAATTACATGTTGTATATAATGTGGAACAGCAACTGGTTGCAGCTGTGATAACTTTACAGAGTTGTTGTTTTGTTTCTTCGCCATTTTTGTTTTTATTGATTTTAGTTTTTTCACTGAATCAATATTTCTCACAGGAGACAACAATAAGGGTCAAACATTACAAAACAACAGCAAAATTATCGATATCCTAATGACAAATTTCATTATTTTGTTTTATCTTAGTGCTAAAAAACTTGTCTTCAGCTTGACTGAAATTAAATTTGGAGTTGATGCCATGCTTTAAATAGATGTCACCGCACAGATGCTAATAAAGCGTACAATCCTTAAACGCAGGTGAAAATTGAAAATCAATAAAGCTGTAATTGAAGGGGTTTTATGCAACAGTCTTAAGTTGTTTGTTAAATTGTTGTTTTTCACGTCCGTCACTGACACTGTTGCCGTAAACTGGATGTCTGTGAAACGACACCTTTTTAAGCATGTGAATTACTACCATTCACCTTACAGGGCGATCACCAGTGTGTGTCTGTTTACACACTGTAAAACATGAGCATACCAGTCGACCCGGAGACGGCTGAGAACAGAGCACGCAACAACCAACCTGTTCAGAGCAACACTGAGCGATACAGGCCGAGCTGCAGAAGCACTGAGGTAGCTGCTCTAATTACAAAACAGCCCAAACTCCTCAGAGACTCGTTTTCCCATTAGCCCCCAAAACAGGAAGAGGAAGGGGGAGTAGCCTGTGTTTTATTACGATGGGCCAGATAACAGCAGACCCCTTGTTTATATGTTTCTCACCTCTCTAATCACAGCCCCGGGGGGAAGGAGAGAATTATGAAACTCTGAAGTATAAAGGGTCAAACTGTTCTAGCATGAATACACCCAGAAGGTGTGATTTTTCTTTTTTGAACTTTTATGTGTCGCCATCAAACTACTTACGTAAACATGTTGTCTTCAGTGGATGATTCATTTGCCCCTTTGGGCCAATTAGCGATGGTCATGTTATGTTTTCTTGTCTGGTAATTGTCAAGCCTACACCTTTAAATAATAATGTTGTTGTTGTTACATGCATCAATCACTGGTGTTTGAGATAACATGCAAACTACCGGTCACACTAACTAACAAACAGTTAAACAATCTTTAAAATAATCATCAAGCTGAATCAACTTCTCTCAAAAAAAAGGATAAGCTTCATAAAAAGTCATAGATTGAAGTGAAACTGCAAATTCAAATTTCAATTTTGGCCTCTTAAGAAAATTCAGAATCAAATGTTCAAATGCTTAAAAAAACAAAACAAAACTTCAATACTTTTCTGATTAGACTCCATTAGGCCACATTTAAAGGAAAACAATAGAATAAAGCTGCAACAGAAACTGACTCCTCACACAGTTTGAAATATCAGGCTTCTGGAGAAGATAGATAACAAATACTACCAAGATGGAGTGAGCACAGAACCTCTTGGGTTTCAAAGCTCTAACAGGACAATCAATTGTTATTCTAGCTGTGATTGTGCGGTGGGAAAAAAAGGCCAGTAAAGAATGTGGCTGTGTGATTATACGCCAGTTGTAAAAACCCAGAGAAGACCCATTGGCAGCAATTAGTGACGCCACGAGATAAGAAAAGCCATTTCAGCCCAAGACAGACTTCCTTGTCTGTTCTGTCATGCTGTCATCCAATAATACCCAGCTCCCCTTGCACCGTTTGTCTTTAAGTACTAAAACTTCTAATCACCTGTTTTTAAACTCTATTAATACTGACCATAAGGATCTGATCTGTTCAACCTCTTCGATCTGTGTTATTAAAACCAGACTGAGGTTGCTGTAGTTGATATAAATGATGATGTGACATTTTTATAATAAGAGATGAAAAAAGGATGAGCAACACATCTTTGCTGAGGAGTGAATTTTTAGAGCAAGAAATCTCAGAATAAGGCGAAGTAGCATATCAGTAAAACGCCATCGGGCAGATGCGATATGTATCATTCTTAATATTACATTTACAGATGCATTGATTCAACTTCTTCTCTCCTAAAAATGATTCCAAAACTTCAAACTCAGAGGTATCTGTGAATATCGACCACCAAGCTTTAAAATGTGTGTCTCCTCATCGTGTGGAAATCACTGGGATCATTTTTATGTAAGATAATATGAAGCAAAGGACCAGTGTGAAGCTGAAAACGGAGGAGTCAGTGGCCTCTTATTACAATTAATGTGAGTCATAATCAAATAGTGACACTGTCAGAGAAACTGCATTTACATTACTGTGGTTCTGTCACGTCCTGATTCATTTAAGGTCAACATCGATGACGATACCTTCTCTAAACTGGTGCATCAAGAACTAAAGTCACAGTTTTATTCATGATCTCTACTTTCTGTGTATTCTGCACTGCGACCTGTCATGGCGTCATCCCTCAACAAGATTATCAACAAACCTTTTAACGTGAACAAACTTTACGCTGCACTAGGTCACACAATAGAGAGCAAATCAGGAAGGAGAGATTAAAGTACATTTAGCTCCAATACTATCAACTTTCTCTGTGCCTCTGTTTACACATCGGTCCTGGTCCTGAAAGGCCACTTCATCCAGATGAAGGTCCTAGGACATCATGAAAGGGCTCTACTGTATCGCACTGTACTCCACTGAAATAGATCAGTGTTCAGCTCTAATGAAATCCACAGGCTCTCATTCAAAGCAGGAGGCGAACTTCCTTAAGATTCCTGAATAAAACCAAAGACAACAACAATGTACAATATTCAGCTCAGGTTTTTGAGGCAGGGCATCTACTGTTTTTACTGTACACCAAGTGAGCCGTGAAGGGCTCTGTGTCACACACGGCTGCTGATGGACACCTTGGCTGTGGTGACTGAAACTGACCTCTCAGCTGCAGGTATCTGTAATCAAACCCTGATAACACACCTGGTGGCTTCAGCAGTGCAGTGGTTCCTGGAGAAGTGGGTATACTCTTAATTTATCCCCCTTTTTTTCTTTTCTTTTTTTTTTGGAGCGACCTGTCCAGCAAACGATAAATGCCCTGTGTTATAAACAGTGACATGTGACACTGAAATGTTTGCACATTGTCACTTAACTTCTGCTGCTTGACTTCAGGTCATGAAATCGACATTATTCACAGAAGACATGTAGGTTCTGCATCAACACTGTCCCACAGACTGTAGGTTTAGACAAATACACCATTATGTATTTTGAGCGAACTATTCTCCCGCTTCCTTACTGTCTCTTGTCTCTTGGAAAAGCTGATTTGCAAAGATCTTGTAGCCACCATTTGTCAAGGGGCAGTTTGCAAACATCACTGGTCCTTCACAGGCCTAATGCATGAATATAAGATATATTCAACCTACCTTGTATGTTCTGCACTACACCACAGGGTACCACTAAATCTGCACATTGTCACTGTATGTCTCCAGTCTTTGCCTGGGGTGAAACTGTAGTTCAATAGTAAACTCAATTTGCTTCCTACACCACACTGGCAAAGAAGACAGCAGTTAATTGGAGTTTGAAACTATCAATAAAGTTCAGGCTGGATGGGTTAACTTGCACAAATAAGTTGCAAATGCAGAATAATGGTCACTGTTGCTGCTTTGACCAAAAGCTAAAAGAGTATAGAAAGTTCATCTTTGTGAGGCTCCAAGCTCTTTGCTTGCCGCCGAGTCACAAAGATCCGGACAAATCAGTTTCCTATGAGGGAGGAACTGCAGGGAAGCAACTGTTTAAGTGTCTGTAAGAGTGTCTTTTACGCGCAAATGTTCCTTATAAAGACGATCGACTACCAACACGCTAACTCGTTTTCAAAGCTCCTCAGGCCACAGCTTGTTGTTGTGTTGTATTTTCTCTCCTACCACGTCGTATGACGGACAGATTGTTCCATCCAATCACCTGCCAAGTATCTTTTTGAAAGCGCTTGCCCTTTTCCCAAACAGTTTCCAAAGAAGTCGTCCCAGATGGTTCTGTGTATCAAACCATCTGGTGCTGAAAGAGTTTCAAAGTCCAAAACATATAGGCTACACAGTAATCTGGAATCAGACATAAACAATCATATATGAAGATTTGGGCTGCAGGGTTAAGGTCAGCGCTCTGCTTTGGAAAGCTGCGCAGGTATGAAAGCCCTGATCTCAAGTTACAATAGCTTAAAGACTAGTCCTCAGCTTTGGTGGAAAAGCTGTAAATGTGGGTTTAAAAAGGATGAGAGAGAGTAGAAGACTCACCAGGCCAGCGATGGGTGTCGGAAGTCTGTTAATTTTCTTCACCAGGCCGGGTTTAATGGAGCTCAGCAACCTAACAAGAAGCCAGACAGGGAAAACGACATCACAAGCTGAATTTGAATAAAAAAAAAAAAAAAAAAACAAGTTACAATGTCTTTAAAAACTTGTCTTCATGACAAGTTAGGGATATTTGCAAAGTTGGAAGAGAGAAAAATAACTTCAGGCAAAAGAGATAAAGAGTGTGTGTGTGTCTTCAGAGAAAGGAGGGGGGACAAAAAGGGAGTCAGAAACATTTCTGACGGTCCCACAGTAGCGTCTGGAAGGTTAATAACCACACAGATCCTAAATCAGAGAGGAGAATCACTGCTGCTCCTTCCAGCCCCAGGGAGCTGTTAACTAGTTCCAGTGTACTTCATATCGCAGTGGCATACACATGTGAGGAGACATGTCCTTCTGCTGTCATTCATCACTGCACACACTTATTTTTATTTTTTTTTATTTTTTTTGGAAGACTGCAGCACATTCCTACAAACTCTACCAGCTTGTCAGTCATGAACAAGCAGTTTCAGCGTTCCCGCCTCTCCCTCTGTCTCCAGTTTCATCTTTTTGTGTGTGTTTTCATCGGAGAGGACACTGTAACGATTCAGGCCTGTAAAAAGGAAAAACCCACCCTCGGATACTCTTACAGTATTAGATATCAGCGGTCCTGTGATGTTCATGGCATTCCAGCAATGAAATGCTGTCGTTTCCCCTTTTAAGTGAACCCTTTTCCCTCCGTCTGCCTCATCTACTTCACCTCAGTTAGAGATTTCCTGCTTTATGTTTCCCAAAATAACTTTCAACAACCCCAGGAGAAGGCTGCTCTCGGCACTACACACAGTATGTGTAGGTGGGCAAAGCGAGCAACAGTGAAGACAATATTTCCTTTCTTGAAAAATGAGAATAATGCTGCAGTTTTCTTTTCAGCCCCCCCCCCCCAAGTTTCTCCCTGTAGGACTGCTGAGCATCAGTACAGATGGTTTTTATTTACAAAATAGATTTGGAGAAAAATCGATCAGTGCAGTTTTACTTGAGATGGAAATAACTCAGACATTAAAACCTTTCCTTTTATTCCCTGATAATTAGATCCTGGAGAGCGACAGCACCTCCAGATGCTCCGTGATATTCCAGAAATTCCAAAACCAGTCGGGACTCTGTTAAATTGGTCCTGATGTCTGTATTCACAATAAGGACAGTGTAAACACTGGGCTTGTGTAAGTGAACTTGGCACAGAGGAATGCAGAAGAGAGAAAGTGCGAGGGTCCATGTGTGTGTTTTCAGTCTCATTTCAGCACCTCAGCTCGTTATTAGTGGGAGGACAAGAGTTCAAGTGTCACACTGGAGGACAATTCAACAGGACGCCAGTCTCTCTGATCACTGAACCGCAGCGTCGCAACAGCTCCGCGGACGTATGAGAGGGAAAACCCGTTTGACCGCTAATGTCAACTTCTAATTAAGTGTAGTTATTCTAGGTTCGTTTTCTTCAACTTCCTCTGAACTGTCAGGATGTAATGATACTGAAACGAACACTCTGAAAAATGCAGAGCCTGAAATGTATTTAAATGGGTCATTGCTGTTAATTTAATAAAAGAAAAATGCAGGAAGAAAATTAGTGAGTCCTCACTCGACCTATTTGCGAACATGACTCGCTTTGCACGCCCGCTCACAGATCTTCCTTTACCGTCTCTTTTTTAAAAAAAAAGGTACTATATGTAGGTTTTTGCTATCGCTACATGGCCAACGTTAGCATCAGCTGTTTAATTACCTCAAAGAGTCTAGAAGAAACGATGCGAGTTCGGCATCAAACTTCATTCCTTTACTCACCAAGAGCTGTCTCCAGCAATCAGCCAGGTGAATTTTAACTCTTGTTTTGCTTCTGTTTCTATCACATCTTTTCTTCTATTGAAGTTAGCATGCTAACAAGCTAGCCCTGGCTACTTTGTGACACTGAGTCACTGTAGTATCCAGTCCTCAGTCCAACCTGAGGGGATGAATAGTATAGTTAATGAGTGTATTCTACCCCAGTGGTTATCAAAGTGGGGTCCTGGGGGTCCTCAGCAAAAAGGGCAATAATTTATTCTCACTATAATTCCATCCATCAGCAACACAATGACAGAATGTATGATTGTGTTGGTCATGGGTTTCAAAGACTTTCTGTAATAAAAGATCTAAAAGCTAAAAACCTTATCAGACAGGAGTCCATGGTCTAATTTGTGTCAGTTTTGGGATCCTTGATGTGAAAAAGTTTGAGAAGCACTGTTCTAACCTTCTAGTCTTGTAAACAAATCAATAGATCAAGCTCTTGGCAAGCAACCATTAACACCATCATCACCACCTCCCGGCAAGAAACCAGACTTGGTGGCAGAGAAAACTTGCATATAGCACCTTTAAGTCACTATGGAAAACCGAATTATTTCAAAATAAAATCATAGTAAGAAAGCTTCATTTCCCCCAGGAGAATAAGAGCAACAAAAATAAAAGCTTAAGATACAGAGAGTAAACAATTTACATACTAAAGATAAAAATAAAGGTGGTAGTCAGAACTTACTCGCATAGCAGTATCCCATTCTCCAAACCGCCTCTGAAATCTTTGTCACCGAAACATCTTCCCGTCACAGCCTAGAGAGAGAACAGAAGGAATGAGTTAACAAAATATGACACCGAGAGGATCGAAAACAAAAACATCATTTCAGTTTCCAAAATCTAACGCCTCAACGCACGAAAACCAAGAAACAAGTGCAACAACCTTTATCGACACTCCTCTCACGTCTCTCCTTCACAGTAAATCCCGGGAGTGGTATGGAGAGGAGCACAAAGAGCTGTCGGCCGTATATCAAGTCTCTCTCTGGTTAACAGTGCTAAACGCTAACAAGCTTGACATAAGCCGCAATCATCCTGACCAAATGGCTCTTGCAGGCTAATGTGTTGTGACAGGGGATTTATCGGGCAATAGTTGTTCAGACCCTCTGAGGAGGAGAAGCTGCCTGTTTGCATGTATTTGCATGACTATAGTGCATCGTCAGGTATGCGTGCTCATTTGTGGACAAATATTACAAAACATATAGATGAGTCTTCTTAGCTACAAGCTATTTAAGTGCACAAAAAACCCTTGGCCAGCATACCTGAACATGTGCCAAAAAAGTACAAGCTTCAGTTGCAGCATAGTTTATTAAATTGCTTGTTTTCTGCTCGTGGTGTTTGAGCTTCAGCTGAAGTTTATAACCTTTCGCCTTCAGTCCTGCGAGTGAACAGGATCCCACATGAACACACACAAAAAAACTTTTCAAGTGCAAACATAAACACCAACAGTGAAACAACTGCCTCCCACTCAAAAAAATATCTGCTGTTGCAGCACTTTTAGCACCAAGCCCACTTAAAATCCATTTATTCACACAAACACTGGCAGACATGTGGCCATAAAAAAGGAGGGACCCCTTTTGGACTAACGGTCTGGAAGCCAAAACAATTACAAGATTAAATTTCCTGAGAGTTTCTTTTACATTTATTTGCACAGCTGTGGTGAAAAAAAAAAAAGCGGGGAGCTGTAGAGCGTCTGGGCCGGCTGTGCGTTTGTGTCAGCTTCTTGGCTCGTCGTGGAGCCTGGACCTGTTACAAAAGAAATGGACTGCTGTATGTCAGCATGTAGGCCAACGGTAGGCCTCATTTCTGCCGCTGAGGTCGCAGTGAGGCGTCATGTTTGGTGTTATGGAGCTGGACAGACAGAGAGGCAGATAAAGATAGACAAACAGAGAAAACCAAAGTGGCACAGACTTTCCCTGTGTGCTGACATTTAGTTATTCACGGCCACCATTCCCTACTGCGGCAGCACTTGTGAACAGGACTTTGTGCGCCTGCTGCTAAACGGCACAAAAGCGATGAGTGAAGCCCGAGTGTGAGACCTCAAAGTCTGCCTCACAGTACGAACATATGGTCCACAAAACCCACGTTCTATGATTTCAGTATCTGAACTTGACATGGAGGAAGACATTATATCATTTGTTGAATTAAGCATCAACGGGCAGCTAGGTGTCAAACTTCAAAGGCAAAGAGGAAATGCTGCTAAAGGTTTTTTTTTAATTTTTTTAAACAAAGAAACTGCATTGATTTCTCCATCTGCTCCTGACAATGCATTTATATCTAAAATAATATAGTTTGATATCCGTCCACAGGCAACACACTCTGCCCACCAGCTCCTCTAAAGCCCAATAATCAACACCCTTCATCTTGTTTGCTGATCTGTACAAAAACCGAAGAATAAAAACATAACTTTCTGGATTTACAGAAGCATGTGATGGAGTACAGGTGTCTCTCAACACAGGCTACGCCAAGTTCAGACTCTTGTACTTGGTTGAACTTGACATGTTTAACAAGTTTAGTCCAGACTCCCATGGACGTGGGGACTGCTTGCAGTTGGAACAGCAGCGTTCTTGCCAATATCAGCAGCTCAGCTGGGTATTACACTTCAACACAATTGTTCCTGACTGTACTGTGACAAAATAAAATGGGAAAAATGGTAGTGAGTGTAGTGAAAAATACACGACATAGATAAAAATCTAAAGAAACCCAAAATGGACCGCACTGACTCTGCTCCTGTTTGTTTATATTTATTCTAGTTTTTATTGAAATGTGGTTGTATATCTGAACATATAAGAAACCTACTGTTGTTAAACTGTCCAACAAATCAAGTATTTATTATGTACTCAACTTCATCTTCCCAGGAAAAAACTGGCAGCAACAAACATTATATCTCAATATCTCTCCCAAAAATTCATCAGACAACAGAGGCCGCGGTGAACTAAGACTGTCCTCCCGGGACGACGGTGAACATTGACTGGCCGGTCGCCTCAGGAGCTCGGCAGAGAGCTGCTGAGATAACTGCCGGTCTCACCCGGCAGGTGGGTTCCTCACATCTCAGTACTTGATCTGTAACTGATGACATTTCACAAGTCTGCAAGAACACAAGTACAAGAAGAAGAACGCAGATTGAGAGAGGCCTCGTGTCCTGGTTGGGCGGAGTCACTTCCTGGAGTCTTGTTGTCATTTTAACCTTTGGTTTTGTATAGATTAAACATAATGTGTTAATTACTGATCTTCAGAGGTTCTGTTGGGTGGATTTTGTCAGCTGTTTCCCTCCTGTTTTCAGCCTTTATGCTAAGCTAAGCTAAGCTAACTGGCCACTGGCTCCAGTTACATATTTATATGCAGAAGTGATAAAGGTGTCAAACTTCTTCTTCTAACTCGAAGTAAGAAAGACACATTTACAGTCTGGTAGAGCTAGTCTAACCTTAAAAGTTTATGTGGACTATTTAACACAGGCAGCATAATGTCGCTAGACTGCAATTTATCAGTTAACAGAGAGAGCAGCAGGATTCATAGTAATTATCTCCCTCCTCTCCTACCTCCTGCCTTTTCCACTGAGCTTCAGTCTAAAGTTACTTGGCCAGAAAAATGTCTTTGGCTCTGCCCCGAGAGGTTTAACTTAATCAATATGATTAATTCTCTCTGCAGATCTGCCACACAGGAATAACTTGTGAAATAAAAAAAAGGTGGAGTCTTCTGTGTGCAACTGTATGACTATATGACAGCAGACTGCAGATCCAGCTATTAGTCAATAATATTTCCACATTTGATTCACTCAAGAGCGACATTTCCAGATCTTATGTTACACAGTGATATTCTGTGGTCTTGTACATGAAGGAAAAATAATCCCAGATCTTCTCTCTAAGTGTGCAATCCCAGGATTAATACATTACAGAATATCATTCCCTGGTTTTGCTCATAAGAAAGTAACTTCTCATGCTCTGATCTCAAGATTCGGCGGCCTAGATACTTTTATATCTGCAGCTTAAAAAACTCTGCAGCTGAGCAGATGACCTTGATTTAGATGCTCCTCGATAAATGTGTCAGATGGATATTGGTACTGTGCTTTCTAAAGCCAGATGACCCTTTTACTTCTCTGTAGTCTAGCAGTCACTGTTACCCAGAACCCCCTCGCCACGCAACAAATATGGTCAGGCTTTGATCATGTCTTGCTCACGAACGTAAAATCGCTGAGAAGAAGAATGCAGAGGTTCAACCTGTGTGCTTTGAGTTACAGAACAGCCTCGATGACAACTAGGTCAGCTCCTCACCAGCCTTGTTAATGAGTCTGAGTGCACAGGGAGATTATAGTGTCACACCACCTTTACGAAGATTGGTGTGCAGTTTGAGGGCAGAGATCAGAGTGCAGCAAAAGAGGGAGAAAAACTCTGTAACTCTTCTGAATAAAAAATCCTTACGCCAATAAATGAGGCTTAGAGGTTTTCTACAGGTGGTATTATAACGTTCCAATTGGAAACACAGAAACTGCTCATACTCATAATTTCATAAGAAAAATGAAATTATGAAACCTCAAAATCTGTCTTCTGTATTTGAAATATTTTTTCCACATCCAATAAATCCCAATCACTGGCCTCCGGTGGGCCCGAACCTCCAGGTGAAACCCAGTGTCTCAAAGGTTAGCTCTATTAATATTCTGTCCTATGGGGCGCATGCACATTAACATAAATTACACACTTCTCTTCTGGCTCATGGCACAGTCTGAACTGTAGAAAGTGGAAGGGATTCGCTTTTCACATTATCTTGCTGCTCTTTGGCAGCTGACTGCAGAGCTGCTAAGGACCGTGATTCATGTACATCTGCTGCTCCCATAAGTATCATCCTGAGCTAAAGAGCACACGAATCTCCTGTCCGAGCCAGAGGCAACGCTCAGTTTGAGAAAACACATAATTGAGCAACATGTAACTCAGATCTGATACATTTCATTGTTATCTTTTTACATTTTAATTTCAATTAAATTAAATTTATTTGAAGTGTTGATCCATAAGATGATATATATTTGTGATTTTAAAAATCAAAAACCATCTCAGTGTAGTTTTACATCTCCTCTCTCAGGCTTCTCTCTGGAGCTCTAGAAACAACAGGTCTGTTAGCCAATCAGAAGGGAGGAGGCTCTGAGCCTCTCTTCTGATTGGCTGATTGTTTTCTGAGCACTCCAATAAAAATACAGCAGATTTCAGGTAAACTAAATCCTGCAAGGTTTGGATGGTAGGTCCAGGTGGGCTTGGGGCGTGGCTGAGAGTGGTGACTGCTTTGTTGTGACATCACAAAGTTACAGGAAGTCCTGACGGCTGGTTTTAAGGCTCAGTTTCTGAATTCTTTGTGCATTTCTCTGTGGATACTTTCTTTTTATTATTATGTAGAAACTAGACCTGCTGTATAATCAAACAAGACATGGAAATCTACCTTTTTACAACATGGGACCTTCTGGTAAAACTTAACCAGACCCTCCGGCACTCACTCAGGAGACTGATTGGCCGGTGGGCTAACAGCATATGTGTAGAGAGCGTTAGCTTGCTGACTGATAAAACCTCCTGATTTACAGAAGGAAGCTACAGCTACAACGCTATAAAAGTTTAGGTAGCAGATTCCTTTTGCATGCAAGGAAGTGCTGTAGGTTAAGTGCACAGTGTACAGAAAAAAACATAAAGCCATTTGAAGTGGCCATTAAACACTAAATCAGAAATCCCAGCAACCTCATCAGCATCATTTCTAGTAAAGGAAGTAATAAAATACCCACA